AAAACTGGGTCCAAGACTGCTGAGAATACGAGCCAGATAGACATCCCTTCTTGAGACCGTGATACTTCCAATGGCTTCTCTGATGGCAGAAGGCACACTCATCCGGAGCTTGAGACATCATAATAACTAGAAAGCTAAGAGGCTCAAATGTAAGAACCCAAAATCAGGACTAAAGGAATTAAATTGTAATAAGCAAAAACGTTATCTAACAAACTCACAAATTAACAAAGTCTTGAACGAAATATATAATGACCAAGTGGGGTCACTTTATAATAACCAGATTCTTGACCCAACCCACAAATATTCCCAGTAAGATAGAATCACATAGAGAGAGAGAGAGAAAGAGAGAGAGAGACTGAAGCAACAACCAACGACCTGGTTCCTAGGGCAAGGCAACCTGGTTCTTTGACTGAAACAGAAACAGAGGCAGAAACCAGAAAGATGTATGATGATCATGAACCAGAGAAATCCAAAGGAGGGTCACGTCAAACTTGACCTAGAGAGAAAAGGCCAACGTAACACTCCTTTAACCAATGAAGACGGAGTACGAAATCCAAACCAGATGAGAAACCAGTTGAGTCACGCGAGATATTCATAGCCTTCGATCGAACCAAATGAAGACAGAGTGAGTCACGACTTGCGACTCAGAGAGAGATGAAACCAGAGGGCTATTTTTCAAGTGATAATTGCGACGAAAGAGATGACTTATGTCTAGGGTTTGGGCTTAGAGGCGGCTCTGATACCATGTAAGAATTTCTGGAAACTCATATATTCAATTGTCTAAAATACAAATATTACAACCAATATTTATAGCGATCTTAAACCTAATCTATAATAGGAAATAATCCTATACAATCAATCGAATTTGCAGAATCAACCTAATTAATATATTACCATAATTACATAATAATATTCTCACAGCAGATTAGTTTGGCAATTGGGTTTTACTATTTTGGGCATTTTTTCAAACTATTTTCCAATAATTCTTTATTATTTTGTATCCAAAATTTTTTATTGTTCAATTTAAAAAGGAAAATTACAAATACATAACCTCTAAGATTTTCTTAAAATATGAATTGCCCCTTATGGTTCTGGAAATTGCATCATACCCCTTCAACTTTCTAATCGCATAACAAATAGTTCATTTTATTGATAAATCATTAAATCAATTAACAATTTATAAAATTGTTAGAAATATATTTTAATTAACAATTCAAGTAATTTTATTGTTGTATACGAAAGTAGTTAGAAATTTTATTTTTTTGTGTTAATTCTGTTAAATAAAAAAATTCAAACAATGTGGTATTTGTAATTTCCAAAACTATAGGGGCAATTTGTATTTTAAGTAAATCTTAGGGGTATATTCGTAATTTATCTTTTTTAAATAAAAATAAAGGCCTAACTCTCATATTTCATAAATAGTAAATATAATTACTACATAAAAGGTCCTTTTTTTTTTAACACAGTATAAAAGTATAATTTCATTTTCTTAAGTGTTGGTGGATCGTGTTGGATCAAGTGGCTTCCCATCTGTCATCTATCCGAATTTAGGTAGATTGTAAAAAATATATCCGCATCCGTCCGTTCGGATCATTGAAACCATCCATTATGTGATAGATTGATTCGGGCCATTCGATTTTAACAAATTAAGTGGATGATTGTTCAATCCTAATCACATTGTTCATTTTCAAATTTAGTTTGCTAATCAAAAATGATGGAGGGGTTTATTTTGAAGAGGATGACATGAATTTATGAATAACAACATTATATTTTTTTGTGATAAGCAAACAAATATAAATTTACGGTAGAAGTTATATTTTTGTATATCTTATATATAAATCACAAAAAAGATCTTAGCCATAAAACATTAAGAAAAAATTGTAACATTTATTTGTTTGTATGAAATTTTTTTGATGAAAATGTGAAAGTGTTAATGAGATAAGAAAATATTTGATGCGAATTACATGTCAATTTTTGTCATCTTGATCAATGCCAAATTGACACAAGAGTTACATTACAATTTCATTGCAAATTGATTTAAAAGTGTATGAAATTAATTATCATTATTAAAATTAAGAAAAAATTACAAATGTATGCTTTAAGATTTGCTTAAAATATAGATTGTCCCTTATAATTTAAAAAATTAAAAATATCTCATTGACAAAATTTTGTATTTAACATAATTAACTAAAAGAATAAAATTCATATCTATTCTCCTATACTCTATCTTAAACTTTATTAAGGGTCGGTTTGGCAAGTCCAAAATAATCTAAAAAGTCAAAAAGTTACACAAAAAGCAAAAAAGTAATTACTATTCACAAATAAAAAATATTAAAAAAATATTTTATATATTTTTATAATACAAAAGTTTGATAGATGCTGTCAGCAGTACTTGTGAAGCAGGAAGGCCACTATACATTTTTTTCGCCAAAAAAAAAAATTACATATGTAAAGCCACAAAGTTTTATGGTAATGTTGGGTCCTTGGGGGTCCATTAAGGGTTCTGTTTTGATAATCCGAACCGTTCAGTATGTAGAACTCGTCAAGTGATACATATCTATAAAAAATCACGTTGATCGAATATCGTTAACTATATGATCAAATCAGTTTTGTATATACAAAACGGATGGTGTGATAGTAATTGTTGAAAAAAACTAATCCGATCATATAGCTATCGATATCCGATCAACGTATTTTTTTATAGACATATAATACTCGACGAATTATACATATTCAACGGTTCAGATTATTAAAATGGGACCCATGGTGCCCCTCATGGACCGACCATCACTGTCCAAACACCTTGCTCCAAATGAGGCAATTATTTTCCGGGTAAGACATGCTAGGGCAGCAGTGCAGCCGTACAACCACTCATCTCCCAATTGCGGGTGATACGTGGATAAACTCTATCTTTAGGGGTTATTTGGGATGTCTTAAATAATTGTATTTTTTGTCTTTTAAACTAAAAAGTTGAGAAAAAAAAAGATAGATGTTTGGATTAACTTTTTATCTTTTTATAAAAAAAATGTGTAATAAAAAATTATATAAATAAAGTGTATAGTGAAAGAAGAAGGCCTCAACATTGCGTTGGATGAGAACTTTTATTCTTGTTTGCTAACAGGCCTATTTGATTAAAGGCCCCCATCCCTACAAACGGATACTAAGAAATCATTCTGCCTTTCTCTCGTTGGATTGGGAGTGGCATGCAAATCGAGCAAGTCCTTCTGCTTGTCTTCCTTTGAGCCCATTTCATGGTTTGGGAGTCCATCAAAAGAAAGAAAAGCAGATGAGGGGTGGTAACCCCTGTAATTTCGTCTAGCCGATTAAGCACGAATCGAGGAAAATGCATTATGAATGAGCTCTTTCGATTAAAAAATGACAGAAATTCGTTGGCTCTTGAAGGTATCAAAACATTCGTCCCATTGATCATGAGGATCAGATCTCCTTTGAGTGAGTGAGAGGCTTGATCCAACGCAACAATTTTTAATAATATTATAAATATATTTTAATTAACAATTTATTAATAAAAAAAATTATTTGTTATGAAATTATAAACGTAATGTGACATGATACAATTTCCTATTACATTTTAGAGTGAATTATACTAACAGTTTCTGCAGTTTGGAACTTGTATTACTTGGGTCTTTAACCTTTCAATTGTAATACATTTGACTTTGAATTTTGAACATCATTTCAAATAAAGACAATTGAAAACACCGTTGCTCCATTTCAAGGGTAAAATAGTCAGTTTGATAAAATATAAACTAGTTTGGCAAAAATAAATGTCAAAAAATTATTTTTGAATTTTCAAAAATTATTTCTATTCACTAAAGATAAAATTATATAAAAATAATGAATCTTTGACCTTTTTTATTTTTTTATTTTTTATCGGAATTAATTTTTTGTATGTGATTGGATTATGATCATGTAATATGTAGTTACTTTTGTTTTTGGATGTTATCATGTAATAAATTGTTGTTAATAGATATTTTTGGATGGTTATCATGTAATAGATGGTTATTAGGATTTTAATATATAATTGATATGTTTAATATATGAAATATTTTTAGTTTTAGATTTTTTGATTTAATGGATTGATTTAATAATGACATCAAAGCTGTCGCTATGTTTGAATTTTTGAAAAAATAGAAACTAATTTAACGAAAATAAATATAAAAAAATGTAAAAAAATTATTTCTAAAAATGTAAAAAAATTATTTCTACCCTCTCAAATGATAAAATTATATAAAAATGATATGTTTTTAATTTTTTTTACCAATATAATTTTTAGTTTATTAGAAAAAATTTCTGAAAATTGATTCTGAAAATCAAACCAAACAAAACTTTAACCAAGATAGTTCTAACATTATTTATTTAAAAAAAAATCATTACATTTCAAACAACATACAAATTAATCAACATAAAATAAAATAAATTATATGACCAATGTACTCTTAAATACTTCATTTGCAAATGAAACATTTTTTATCATTTTTATTTGAAATAAAATTTAAAATTAAAAATAAAATTTATTACAATTAAAAAATTAAGAATTAAAATGACACAAATCCTAAATCATAAAGCGTTTTGGTAAAATTTCCCTGCATTTTAAACAAAAATAAAATGGAAGCTATCATGTTAGGGGGGAAAAAGAATCAAATCAAACAAAACTTTAACCAAGATAGTTCTAACATTATTTATTAAAAAAAAGATCATTACATTTCAAACAACATACAAGTTAATCAACATAAAATAAAATAAATTATATGACCAATGTACTCTTAAATACTTCATTTGCAAATGAAACATTTTTTATCATTTTTATTTGAAATAAAATTTAAAATTAAAAATAAAATTTATTACAATTAAAAAATTAAGAATTAAAATGACACAAATCCTAAATCATAAAGCGTTTTGGTAAAATTTCCCTGCATTTTAAACAAAAATAAAATGGAAGCTATCATGTTAGGGGGGAAAAAGAAAAAAAAAAAATCTTACTCGATCGGCCAATCCAACCACACAAACATGAAATTAAACTCAGAACACAAATAACAAATAAAAAATCCCCAAAGGAGCAGCCCAGCTCTGGTTAACCAATTGCTTGTCACCTTCCTCTGCCTCTATTTGATCCATCCATTCCATTCATTCAATCCCATCTTCATCATCTTCGCTTAAGTCTTAAATCTCTCATAGCTATATATAAATATACTCTTATCTAGTACACAAACAACAAATCATTTTTCTTTATTTTTTGTCTTGGTGTGGGGATAAACCCTAGAGCTTTGAGCGCATGTCCAAGAGAGGAGGAGGATCAGCAGCAGCAGCAGCTGTTCTGCAAAAAGATGTGCCTTGGAGGGCTTCTCCCTCTGGTGGAAAACCCATCCCCAAAATCCACCACTCCCCTGTTCTTCGTCTAACCCAAACCCCTCATTCCAATTACGCCCTTTCCATCATGAAGGTCTCTCTCTCTCTCTCTCTCAATAAGCTTTTTTATTGTTTTGTTTTCTGGGTCTTGGATGATAATTGTTTTATTTGTCTCTTGTTATGTGTGTGTTTTTGTGTGGATTTGTATAAATTTTATAATGGGTTTTGATAATTTTTTGATGTTGTGGGGGTTTTGGATGGAAATTTGCAGCACCCAAATCCAATTGGAAGTGGGTTGGGAAACGAAGCTATAGTGGAAGCAGCAGGGCCAGATTGTATTGTGCCAGGACAAATTACACCCGTTAAATTACTTGGTCTCAAGGTGCTTTTCTGATTCCACACCTAATGGAAGACAAATATTCCACTTTATTTATTTATTTATTTATTTTTCATTGTTAGTTGTTTGATATTGGTTACCTGAAGAACAAGTTTTTGGGTCTTCTTCTTGGCTTCTGAATATATAGAACAGATTGATACTATTTTCTAGTTAAAATGACATCAGCTAATTATGGAATTTAAGTTCATGTAGTTGTGAAGTTTAAAACCATGTCACAAACGTCACGTGTTTGAAGGCATTGTTAGACAAATTGTTTTGATTAGCTGTTGACTTGTCATCATGTGAATATTATTATTTTTTAGTTTCATATTTATAGAACCCAAATAATATTTAGTGTGGGAAGAAGGCTTCCATACAAAAGAGTTCAATGTTGAGATCTCTTTCTAGTATTGGCTAAGACGCAAGATTCATTAGAGAGTGAAGTGCCTTGATTGACCCTCGTCTTTAGCTACCAAGCTACATAATATTAGAATCTTGCGTAGTCTGTTGCTGGTTCAGTGAACATCCTAGCCACTGCCCTTTCTTGTTTTTCTTGTGATGCAGTCACAACCAAGGAACGGATATGCTGTGTTAAAGGGAACATAATTCTAACATGTGGTTGTCATGTTTCTTGTGATGCTCTCACATCCAAGGGATGAACTATGATGTGTCAAAGGAAACATGATTCTAACATGTGGTTATGTTTATTGTGATACACTCACAATCAAGGAACAGACTGATGTGTCAAAGGACACATGATTCTACCGTGTGGTGATCCCCTATGATGTGTCAAAGGATGTTATGGAGATAACAAGTGTCCATAGTAATATTTGATGTGGCAAGAAGGCCTTCCATACAAAGAGTTTAATGTTGGGTTATCTTTTATGTTTATCGTACACTAAAATATATGTTTATTCTATGCTAAGGGGGTCATTCCATATGTAAGTTGCACATAATCCTGAAATATGACTTCTCACATCATAACTATAAAGAAACTAAGTAGATTTGTGATGAGCTCTCTTGGGTCGGGGAAGGGCTAGGGTGGGGCCCTAGGGGCCTCATCTTAAATCCACCCGGTTGTAGTTTTATTTAGTGTGATATTTTGTAAACACATGGTGTGAGATCCACTAGTGGGTTGAAGAATTAGAAAAAAGGAGTACGTTGAAGTGGCTTTGTTTTTTTTAGCATGGTGTGCAAGGTTCTGAAAAGTGGTTGCGGTCACCATAGCCGCAATGGTGGCGGTGGCGCGGTTGCGGTTGCGGGGTGTAAAGGCCGTAGCGTAACGGTTGCAGTAACCAGAATCGTGAATTTTTTTATTTTTTGCACAATTTTGAAAAAAATTGACTGATACGCATATATATATATATATATATATTTTCATGATCATATTTATTGGGTTTAAAATAAATATTGATCAATTTTTGTAAATTTTTAAGTATGATTCAATATAATTCATATTTTTAAATCACTATAAATTGAGTTTTTCACATTTTATTTTAATAATTAATGACTTTATATTATACAAAAAATTCAATTACTAACTATTATATATAAGATAAATAATGACAAAAGTAAGAGAATAAATAAAAGCCTAAATATATATATATACACATATTTTAATCAAGCCAAATAGATAATGAACACACTTATTATTATTATTTTTATTATTATTATTTTCAAACAATATATAGATAGATACACAAACAAAATGATTGAATGATAGCAGCTGAATGAAATAGCATAAAAGTCTTATAGTTTTAACAAATTAATAACATGTTTTTCATCTTCTCTCTTCTCTCTCTCTATCTCTTGCTCCTTAATTTTCTCTCTTTATCTTCCCTCTTCTCTCTATCCCTCTTCCCCCATTTTCAGTTTTTTTTTTTTTTTCAAAGAAGCAGTTCGGAACTGTTATGTAATGGTGCGTAACAGGCCGTTACGCCTGTTACGGCACCGTTAAGACTGCTATAGCAGCCGCTATGGCCGACACACATGTGAATATCAATCACACTGCAAAAACTACCATAACGGGTTACGTAACGGTTGCGGCCGCTTTTTAAAACCTTAATGGTGTGACAACATAATGTTTTTTGGTTGTGGAACTTGGCAAGCTCATATTGTATTCAGCTATTTTATCCTTTTCAATTTATTGTTCTTTACATATCTGGCGCTATGCTTTCTACTTGTCAATATATTTGAAGCAGATTCCTCACTCTGCTCTTGTATATATTTCTGTTATGATCCTCACAGTTTCATTCCTACTGTGTATGTAAAGGTATGGCCCATCAATGTTGACTTAAAGTTTATGGAACCAGTTGGACGGGAGCTTAAGTCCATCGGGAAGGTAAAATTCTTCTTTTAAGTAGTCTTTCACATTATTTACAATTGTACCTACATCATTCCAATTTTATTTATTTTTAATTTTTAATTTAAATTTTTTTTTTTTTATATATATATTTTTTTTGGAGTTTGAAATGAAAGATATAACTTATACGCATAAACTTCATACATAAAATAATTTAATGAGCATACAAGCCCAAGTGAGGAATTTATCTCTATGATGGAAAGCATGGCAGGAAGAAAATGTGTAAATCTTGAATTTCATATATGATATGTTCAGAGCATCATCTAATTAGGTTTAGGGTTAAGTAAGTCTTAAATTTGATGTTTGTTTGAAGTTATGAACATATTTATTTATCCTTATTAGGTGTTAGGAAGGGTACTTTGGTAATTTTTTGTTTTGTTACCCATGGACTCTAGAATGGGTCTACAGGTTGTGTTATAGGTCAAGTAATGTTTTTAGCGGTTATATATAGTTTTGATTTGTTCTAAATATTCTAATTAGTCAAAAATCGTTACAAGTTGTAGTTTAGTATCAAAAAAATTCTAGCAATCTAATTGTTTTGTCCACGGAGTTGTATGCTGATGATTTGTATGCAGCTTTCATAGCTTTATGTAATGCTTTTACAACCATTCCTAAGGGGCCAATTCGTAAGGAATGCATTTACCGGTGAATTCTTTTTCTTCTTTTTTACAAGGCTGTTAAATACTATTACTAGGTTACTGTTCACAGTCTCCAAACGGTGGCCCCTTTAGTCCCAAAACTCTAACCTGGGGTTTCCTAATCAACTCGAACCGTTTCCAATATCTTTTGGTCTTTAAATTAACACTCAAATTTTAGCCTCTTTCCTTTGTGAATCTTGCAATGTGCTACTTTTAAAAGTGAACCACTTTGGGATGAACTTTTCACCACTAACTATTTGCATGTTGCTGACTTCTTTTGTCATTTTGCACATTCTTTGAGTTTCCCCTTTTGTTTTTCGAGTTTTTTAGCCCTATAGTACATGACACTATCTAATATTAACTCTTTTTTTTTTTTCCCTCTTTGAATGATATTAGCTTGTGTTTGTCAACATCTGAGACTTTACTTCTTGTTTGGCTATCAATATGATAGTTAAAGTGAAACGGGTTGGGGCCAGGATGATTTTCTGAGCGGGGGCAGAATGAAACCAGAAAGATAGATGGTCATGTCTAACCACTTATTTTAAAGTAGAAAGGTTGAAGCTTAATGATAATAAACTGTATAATTGCAAAAGTACCTAATATAAAACAGCGTTTGGTAGAGAAGATAACAACAATGCTAAACCAAATCAGAATATTTTATGGCATTTTCTTTCTTAATATGTGTATACAATATTTTAAATACTTTAGAGATTTGGAGACATATATTTATGACCCCAATATTTAAAAAAAATAAAATAAAACTGTAACCAACATTTTGTTTATCTTAATCTTATGTGCTCGTCTAAATCACAATATCAAATAATAATAATAATAATAATAATAATAATAAATAAATAAAAAGAGAGAGAAAGAAGAATAAGTTTTTGAACACCCAAAAGAAATCTGTAAATGCCTCAAGTATACTGCTTTGTAATAATACAGAATCGTGTAATATTTCTTGTACTATGTTCCGATAAGATCATCTTTTCACATAGTCTGATCAATAGCTTATTACTCTAAGTAGAAAAGTAGGGTTTGGATTTGAGAACAGCTTGGGCTTGGTGGGCCCATTTTGGGGCCAACATCGGTAATTCGAATCATTCACTTTTTAGGATTCATCGAGTAAAATATTCATACAATAAATCAAGATAATCGGACATCGATAGCTATATATTTGAATCACATTTATATTACAAAAAATGGATAGCTATTCTTGAAATTATATTTTTTATCCGTTTTTGAAAGACAAATGCGATTCAAACATTGAGCTACCGATGTCTAATTATCTTGTTTTCTAGAATGAATATTCTACTCAATGAGTCTTAAAAAATGAACGGTTCGGATTACCGAGGTCAGCCTCAAAATAGGTCTACTAAGCCCAACTACTCTCTCAAGTTGGATGGCCAACTTGAGAGAATCCAAACCCTAGAAAATAAAGCAAGGTAGATTGACCCCCATCTGCCCACTTTGATGCTCTGCCAACTGAAGTGTTGTTAGCTGATTTGACGGGAGAAGTCTCAAGGAACACATTTGAAAGTTGTTTGAGACTTCAGTACAAGTTTTATTATATTTCTTTTGCTGTTGTGATAAAACCAAAATATCCCTACAAATGTTTAGTGACACTCTCATACCATGCTAACTGGAAAAAAGGATCTGTGTTCGTAGTTATAGTTCACTTGGTTGAAGTTCTCTTTCTGATCCTTCTTTGTTATATATATTGAAACTAAATTTTAGGTTTCCCAAATGGGAATCTGCATTTTGTCTTCACATCCTGTCCTAATCAATGTCACTGATTTGTTGTGTGTGCAGTTCATGGATTCGGCTGTCAACCTTATGAACAATTCATTTATAGATCGTTAGCACTTTGGGTTGTTTCTTTCAACTAAGTTGCCAAGCAGCTGTCATATAGGATTTGCGAGTTATGTGTATTACTACTGGAATGATCAGAATTATAGCAAAGCAGAGTGATTACTGATAATCCTCTTTTTCATGTTTTTTTTTTTTTTTTTGCCTGCCGGTTTTGTTATGTACTCTCGTTGAAGTCCAAATTATCGGTAACTAGAGAAATGTGTGTTTGAATAAATTGGTTCTGTTTCTTCAAACTATCAGTGGCTCTACATTCTTTAGTTATGTTGTTTCACTGTTTTCAGTCAATTGAATCGTGTAAAAGGTCTTTGAATTCCTGAAAATTCTAATTTGGCTAGAGAAAAAAGCAGATGTTTGTACCTCAAACAAGGCGACAAGCAAAGCAACAATGGAATTAAAATTGGGGAGAGAGGAATTCAAAATTATGCTGCTAATATCTTACCAGCATACGCTAAGGGTTGGTATTTTATGTTGTCTTCTAATTCATGAAGTTCATACATGGTTTGAAATACCATTGCTACCTGTCATACTGGAATTTGGAGCTTTTGAGTCATATTCACCAAAATTTCATTGTGATTATCAATCAATTGGATCCAGCAATCTTGGACAATTGTTTTGATGATCTGTCGCTGAGGGAAAAAATACACTGGGGGCTTGGCCTCGGCAAGAAGGGGGGAAAAACTGGGAGTTTGGTGCCTAAACGTACTTGTATTGGTTCAAGTTTTGTAATTTTCAACCAATTTTGCACATAGATTGGGGCATATGTATTTTTGTAATTTTTTCCAACCAATCTTGTGTCAATGCTATAATTTTTTTTCTTTCTTGTAAATAAAACATGTATTTTAATATCTGATTACAATGCAACAACCAAGTTCGAAGTGTTGAAGCATTTGAATAATTGAGTTTTAGGGCATTTGTTGATGATTAAAAAAACCCATGATCATTTCTATGATATGTATTGCTTGATATTGCTGATACCATTATATCGCGACCGTTCTTATTATGTATCTTGATTTTGCGATTTAGAATACAAGCTATTCTTTTCAACTGTAAGAAAAGGCAAACAGAAGATTTAGAAGGAGATTCACATTGTGGATATGTGATCCAAAGCACTATCCATATCTTCTCTTTTCCTTTTTCGTTTCTTAATCATAATATGCTCTTGATGATAACATTTGATGTTTAAAATGGACCATGACCAAAAGCTATCTGCAAACTACAATATTAATATAAAATAGACTTGCATATGTAACACAAGTGAAGAACAAACAAAAATATTGCAAATAAGACCAGAAAATGATGATGCAAAAGTGGACATAGAACTATAAATCCAACCCATTCTCATGGAAATGGACAAATATAAAAATGCTTTGATGACCTAACAGAGAGACCTCATACATTCAAGCCAATGGAGTTCCCACAAAGTAGTGTTTTCCACCTATTGTTGCCATCTAATATTTTTGTGTTATCTTCACTTGCCCCATGTAGTTTCTTGTATAAGAAGGCTAGTCCTCTTGAGTTTCTTGCAACAATAGTAGGTTATTCAGTAGCCATGGAAGATGAAAAATTGCGCAAAGGGCCGTGGTATGAGGAGGAAGACGAGCGGTTGACTGCCATTGTTGCAGTTATGGGGGAAAGACGATGGGATTCAGTAGCGACAGTCTCAGGTTCAATTCAGTTTAAATTACATAATAAGAAGAGAAAACTAATGCATTGTCTTTTATATATTTTTTTTCATGATTTCGAAAATTAAAGTGATGAAAAATTCAAAAAAACTCATCGTTCTCATTTTTGTATGGAAGAAGTTTCCAAAAATTCAAAAACAAGTTTTTTTGTTATTCAGAAAAAGTGGGTTGCTTCCACAAAATTTTTCAAAAACCATTTTTTTAAACAATTCACCAAAGAAGTTTTATGTGTTTTTTGAAAAATAAAACAGAAGACAGGAAACAAAAAAATACAGCCAAACATGATTACATGTAAGTGGTAGCTTTTACAGGGAGATTGTTTACTTGTAGGCTTAAGGAGGAGCGGCAAGAGTTGTAGAATGCGATGGATGAACTATCTACGTCCCAATCTTAAGCACGGTCGACTGAGTGCAGAAGAAGAGAGGATCATTCTTCAACTTCACAAGCAATGGGGTAACAAGTAAGGCCCTTTTTTCTACGTCCTTTAAATGCCTCAAGACTCACATAACAGAACCAAATTTACTATGCTACTTAAATTATGCCAATACTTCTATGCCAAACAGTAGTGTCTTATACAAGTTGTCCCAAGTTTTGTTTAAAATATGTTTGTTGTTTACTTCATAGATGGTCAAAAATTGCTCGAAGGTTGCCTGGAAGAACTGATAATGAGATAAAGAACTACTGGAGAAGTCATTTGAGAAAGAATGCACAAGTCCGAGAGCAAGGTACACCGAATTTTCCCTCCATTTAATTTGTCTGTTTTTATTGCTTCTACTTATCAACTAAGCTACTTGCACAAAAAATTTTCATGGAAACATGTCTGAAATTTTTTTGTGCACGTAGACTTTTTGCTTACTAATTTCTTGCTTTATTAACAAATGCTTCATATCATAGGAAACTACGATCAGAGCATCACAAACAACGCGAAACAAGATGTGTTGGTTCCAAAATTTGATAATGGAGACTGCACATCTGTTAAGGAGAACATTTTGAGAACCACTGATGATCACTCTGATGTGTTTGAATTATCAAACTATGGAATTGCAAGTTCTCCATATGAAGTCCGCATATCGGATTGGATGTCAAGTTGGTCAGATGAGCAAAGTGAAGTGAACCGTCATCATGGGGAGTGTCAGAGTTTGGACTCAGGTTTCTGTTGTTACTCAGTGTGGAACTCTAAAGATCACAGTGATAATGGTTTATGGGACTCTTCTGATTTCCTCTGGGACACAGACTAATTAAATTTGCTTCACTTTGAGTTTGAGGAGTGAATAAAAGAGAAAATTTTGACTGTAAAATTGGCTTCTCTAATCATTTCACCATCTATCTATCAGAAACCTATGTTAATGATATCCGATTGGCTAATCTTTTTCTCTCTGTTTCTTCTATCTTTTTTTTATTTTATTTTATATGTTTTTTAATATGTGCAGATAAGAGGTATAAAATAGAACATGAGGAAAATTGAGGGAAGATATTGGTAGGCTTTTTACTAAGATATGCCCATAAAATATGAGCTCAAATGATATTATTCTACATATATACATGGTTCTGAAAAGCGGTTGCGGTTGCCGTTGCCATAACGGTGGCGGTAACGCGGTTGCGGTTGCGGGGTGTAAAGGCCGTAGTGTAACGGTTGCGGTAACCGGAACCGTGAATTTTTTTATTTTTCGCACAATTTGAAAAAACACTTACCAATACGCATATTTTTTTCCATGATCATATTTATTTGGTTAAAAATAAATATTGATCAATTTTTGTAAATTTTTAAATATGATCCAATATATTTCATATTTTTAAATCACTATAAACTGAGTTTTTTACATTTTATTTTAATAATTATTACCTTTATATTATACAAAAAATTAATCACTAACTATTATATATAAGATAAACAATGACAAAAGTAAAACAATAAATAAGAGCCTATATATATATATATATATATTTATACATATTTTAACCAAGCCAAATAGATAATGATCACACTTATTATTATTATTATTATTATTATTATTATTATTATTTTCAAACAATATATAGATAAACACACACAAACAAAATAGTTTAGAGATAGCAGCTGAATAGAATAGTATAGGTCTTACAGTTTCAACAAATCAATAAAATGTTCTTCATCTTCCCTCTTCTCTTTCTCTATCTCTTGTTCCTCTATTTTCTCTCTTTATCTTCCCTCTTCTCTCTATCCCTCTTCCCCCACTTTCAACTTTTTTTTTTTTTGTGTTTTTTCGAAAGAAACAGTTTGGAACCGTTACGTAACGGTGAGTAACAGGCCGTTACGGCTGTTACGGCACCGTTACGACCGCTACGGCCGACGCACCTGTGAATCTCAATCACATTGCAAAAGCGGCCGTAACGGGTGACGGTAACCGCCAAAACTGTTGTGGCCGCTTTTTAAAACCTTGCATATATATAAAATTAAACCACATAAAACTATTATGAACGTACTAAATATACTCATTTCTTGGTATCCTCATATGAGTGTCCCATCGTGCTAACTTGTAATTTCTTGGTTTTTTTTTTTTTTTCTGTAGTTTAACAACTCAACAAAACACAGCCACACAACAATTTCCACCACCATTGTAATCTTCATATGTAATGGGGTTTGGTCAAGTGTAATCAAAAAGCCAAAGATAATGTTTTCCACTTAGCAACTAGTTTTTATCATATGGGAAACCAAATGGCCACATGGAATGAACTGGGAATTGATATTATACATCTTTTAAAAAAAATAATAATAATAAGATGGCCTCGTCTACAATCCTTCTCCATTATCAAATGGTCAGATGATGATTTTGGTAGACAAAAGCAACCATAGAGGTCCCTTGAGTCACAAACAATTTGTTGAAAACACTTAAAAATGACAACTACATGGGAACTGCATCATCTTCTACCCTCATGTCTCATACATTAGTTTTTAAAATTGTAGCTTATACTTGACTGGATAAGGGTTCAGAGAGAATTTACTACCGAACCTTTCAATTGTGTTGGTTGAGGAACCAAAATCGAACACATGGTTTAAGTTTCTGTCAATTTTTGATTAGTACAGAGAAGGAGCATGAGGCTTATGATTTTCTAAAAACTTATAGAATGGCGCTGTTTGGAAAGCCATAAATGAGGCTATTATAGCCTATTTTGAGAAAAAAGCCCAAAAATAACACTGTTGAAAGCTTTTTCAAAAAAAATATATATATATATAGGCTGCACAGCCAGCAGTGTAGTCAGCTACAGCACTTGTTCCATCAATAAATAAATTACGATTTTACCCCTTGATATCAATTTAAAAAAACATATTTTTAGGGACAAATTTGTCATTTTAAATTTAAACATCATTTCAACACACTTTCCAATACAACAACTCAACTAAAAATTCATCTCATCTTCCCAAACACAAAACTAAAATAACTTACTAAAATAATCAAAAAGCCAAATAGCCTACTAAAATAGTCACTTCCCAAACGAAGCCTATAAAAACATGGCACCATCGTAGGTCTAAGGTATACTTTTTATGATCTGTCTAGTGAATTAAACACTATTGGCTATCTTTGAGAGATAATTACTGACTTGATCATCAGAGTGCCTCCGGGTGGACAAACCACCGCCGGATTCTTATTTTTCTGTAACAAGTTGTTTGGGCTTACTGTTTGGGAAGCCATAAATGAGGCTATTATAGCCTATTTTGAGAAAAAAGCCCAAAAACAACACTGTTGAAAGCTTTTTCAAAAAAATATATATATATATAGGCTGCATAGCCAGCAGTGTAGGCACAGCCTACACTGCCAGCTACAGCACTTGTTCCATCAATAAATAAATTACGATTTTACCTCTTGATATCAATTTAAAAAAAACATATTTTTAGGGACAAATTTGTCATTTTAAATTTAAACATCATTTCAACACACTTTCCAATACAACAACTCAACTAAAAATTCATCTCATCTTCCCAAACACAAAACTAAAATAGCCTACTAAAATAATTCAAAAATCAAATAGCCTATTAAAACAATCACTTCCCAAACGAGACTAATGTCACATTGGAAATAAATGAAAAGAGTAGATGGGGTTTGCAATATAAATACCTCCTTTTAACCTTTATTAAAAAACGTGAAGTATTGATCAACTAGAATATAAAAAAAAAATTAAAATATAATAATGCAATTGGTACTGGGCTTTGTTTTTTTTCTTTTTCTTTTTCAATTACCATGGTTCCAATGCCACTAATGTGATGTTTGGCAAGGGTCATATGTACGTATGCAACCTTTATGTATGGAGGGACACTTCTCATGATTTGAATTTGTGACACTTAAATTACAATAAAGCAACCTTATTGTTGTGTCAACGGCCGCCCCACCCTCATCTTATAGTTGAACGGCTATTAAGTTTAAAAATATACATAATAAAAATGCGAAAAACAAAATAAAAAAAGAGGAAGAGAGTTTCCTTTTCTGGTGGAGACATGACTCTATCTAAACCATATTTTTCTTACAATTATTTATCATTTCAATATAATACAATATCATGCCCTAATATAATAGGGGCCAAATTGATTTACTGATTTCTCTACTCCATGTTGCTTTTCAGCATTCCATGACCTTTTTTAAGACAAATAATTTCAGTTCTCTGAATTTATTGTACATAAAGTTTTCAATCCAAAAAAGAAAAGTAAAGATAAGTTCTTTTGGAAAACCCAAATCACTTTACTTTGCAGTGTCTTTAAGAATTAAATTGATAGGTTCCAATCATGTCAAGATCTTTCAAGAGGCTTGACAATGGAGTTTGGATCATCAATGTGCAAAATTTTAAAATTTCTCAGACATGGATCAGTGTTTTTCAGCACTAAAAAAACACAAGTTTAGCTATTTTAGTGGCAAATTGATGGTTAATACTAGGGTCCCGTTTGTTTGGGGTTATAGAAAGGGTATTGGGACTAGTAATACCTTATTTGTTTTGAGAGATGGGGAAGGTACTACTAATACCCTTGGGGAGGGGATTCATAGTGAGGAGGTAGAGATGGTATTAGAAAAATAGTGAGGGGATTAAAAAAAAAATTATTTTTATATATTGGGAATTTTTTAAAAAAATATTAATGTTTAATTTTTATATTTTTTTATTTGTTTTATTATTTTATATAAAAATAATTTAACAATTCCTCACTATTAATCCCCTCACTATCAATCCCCTCCATTCTATCTCCCAAAACAAACGGTCTCTCTGCATCAGAAGCCAAATCCCAAACCCTCCTCTCTTCCTTTTGCAAAAACTCTTCAAAACCCTCACTCTCTCTCTTCTTTAGACCCCAAAATATAAAAATTAAACATTAATATTTAAAAAAAAATCCCAATATATAAAAAATAAAAAAATTTCTAATCCCCTCACTATTTTTCTAATATCATCTCTACCTTCTCCTTACCAATCCCCCTTACTCCCCCTTACTAGTCCCAAGGGATTACTAATCTCCTCCCTATCTCTCAAAACAAACACCTCAATCTTAATCCCCTCCTCACTATCAAACCCAATCCCCTCCCTATAACTCCAAACAAACGTCCTTTGACTAGTATTATATGGATGCACAAACTTATGTATAACTTTGTGTCATCACTTCTTAACTAAAAATAAATAAGTAAATAAATCTAAAACAAGTGATCTAATGCACGAGACTTCTGCTAATTTGGGTATTGAGAGTAGCAATATCTACACAACCTAATCCCATTGCTTTAAAAAAATCTATTACAGTCAAATAAGCTAACAATAATGCATATTTTTCATTTTGTGAATAAGAAAGAAGGGTTAAGTGCCATAGAAGTTATGTTAATTTGGACAAAATTTTAAAAAAATTAAAAATAACAGAAAAATGGCTTTGATGTTACAGAGTTAAGTAGATTGAAAAATGAAGAATGTTACCATCTTTCAATTTCATACTACAATATGGCAGATGTTGTGGAAACATATGAACATAGGAAGGATGACAAGGCAATTAGAACAGAGAAGAGAATGGGATTAGAGCAAGTGGGGAATAACATGTCGCTCCCAGAGATGTCATTAGAGTTTTCTTCATCTCCACCCGACTCTAAAACTGTTCCATCACCGCCATCATCACTATTGTTTCCAGCAGTCCACTTGCTTAGTTTGTTATTCCTGCTCATAAACCAGTTCTCTAATAATTAGATTATTGTCACATTATACATATAGGAAAGTAGTTCACAAATTTAGATTTCATGTAATAAGTAACATATATGTATCGGTTGCATTACAAGCAATAGTTTTAAAGTTTGTTGTTTGTGGTGGTTGTTT